CAGGACTGCAGTCCAGAAGTGGATGAACAACCAGAACTTTCCGCCAGAGTTTACAGCTGGTGAACGTGAAGACAAAGAAGAAAAATGCACCGGTCAGTGGGAGATGTGGTCAGCATCACGCCGGCTGTCTTTACTTCCCAGGACTTTACTTATGGGTAATTTCCTAATTTGTTCACATTCTAAGATTCACAGCCATACAAGAGAACATATTCCACATGATACTTCTGTACTGTCCACATTAAACAAAAAACACTTATATAAAATAATTTTCACTTTCAGAAAATCTAGCTTTTGCTTGACCTATCCTTTGTTAACCTGTCAAATTCTTCATCCAATGTTGTCATTGCATCCATACCGACTTTGTTAAGCGTTTTCAAAAGACCTTCACTTGTGATAGGAGCTGCATCAAGAAAGTCTGATAACAGTATAGTTACGATGTGGACCATGATCATTCATCCTTTTCTGGCATAAAACTTGAAGATGATGAGTGTACTTTATACAGCTAGGTGACTTTCAATATGAAGATGGCACCTGTTTTGATCAGCCCTTGGTGGATGATGTGGTCAGCATCATTCCAGCTGCCTTTACTTCCCAGGACTGCACCTGGTACCCACTCAATGCTGGGTAGACCTGGGAGTCAAGGTCATTTCTGAAGAAACAAAAGTCTGGCTCTGCCAGGATGCAAACCCACGACCTTCCGATCCGCAGGTTGGCGTCTAGCTGCCAACACCACGGCCACTCCCATATTGATAGAAGTATCTTTTAAAATGCGAAACCCATTTTTAAAGTTTTATAAAATAATAAGTTCAGTTATACTTTCAACTTTATTGTTAGAAACATGCACCAGATAATGTGAATAGACAGGAGGGATCTGTATTTGAGGATAGCCAACAAAACATACACAATAAAATTGCAGAGGCAAAACAAGACGCAGAAGACTACCGCAAACGCTGGGAAGGCCAGCATTCAAAGGTACTCAATATTTATATGTGCTTGGTGTGGATTATATATTGTTTGGTATGAATGGATTTTTGTAGTTTTAACTTTCTGTGTTTTCTATTTGCACAACATTTGCTTCAAAGTAATCTGTGAAGTCTTTTGACACCATTGCATACAGTGTTAAAAGTTATGAGTTTAGATAGCTATCTGTAACACTGTGTGTCTAAATAGCCATAGGTTTGACCCAGCTATGTACACCAGACCAAGAGTGGCCTAAAACAACAAGTTGCCAGATGAAACATTATGTTTCATGATGGGTCAAATATCAAGTTTTCAAAAGCGGTAATTGTTTGTTTCTTCATTCATTTTATTTAACTTTTTAACGTGTGCTCAGTGTGCGACAGGAAGAGGTCCTTACTTGTTTTACTTCACTCAGTGACATTGGCTGTGTGGGTGTCTACCTAGGTTCTTTCTTACTTATGCTGATTATTGCACTTTTACATTTCCATAGGTTTTTAAAACAAGTATTACTAGTTTTTTTTCTCCTGAAAAGATAGTTCAGGTTCTGTTTATTGCATATATTACCTATAAATTAAAGATTATAATTGAATATATTTATGTGTAAGATACTGTAGGTATTTATTATCAGGGTTTTTCTGGCAAAAAAAGGTGCCGGTACTAACCACAATGTCTGAGCAAAAGTGCCAGTAATAATAAAGTGTCTTTTACAGTAGTACTGAAAAACAATGATGCATAAAAAGATGCTGGTACTGTATACCACTGCTCATCGCTGCATGCCACCAGCAACAATAACAAAGTCATGTTTATTATCATGATTCTTATCTGTGAGTTGTTGCCATTTTTTTTAATTTTGCCTTTTACAGTTCATTTAGTAGTGCCATAAGCATTTCTTATGCTATCTTATATTTTATTTAAAAAATGCGGACACTAGCAAGCAATACATTGCACAATTCATTATCTGGTTTTTTTTGTCAGGTGCATTACTACAAAGTTACAACGTTTAATAAATAAAGCACAAGAAATGAGTTCTTTTCCTATCTTAATTTGAAGGGCTGGCAGGAGGGGTGGGGGAATGGAGCTGACAGGTGAAGTAGCTTAGAGGTATGGTGCCTGGCATAGCAGATTTAACCTACAATTTGGATGATATAAATTTTTAAAAATTAAAAAAAAAACGTATTTGAGTTTTACAATTCCAACATCCTATGTTTAAAGTCAGCTGTAGATAGTTTAGTAGCTCATCATTCTGCATCCGGAATCGCCATGGCAGAGCAGCTAGATGCTCGCTGCGGATCGGAAGGTAGTGGGTTCGCTCCCTGGCGGAGCCGGACTTTTTTCAGAAATGACCTTGGCTCCCAGGTCGACCCAGCCTTGAGTGGGTACCGGGTGCAGTCCCGGGAAAGTAAAGGCGGCCGGCGTGATACTGACCACATCACCCATCTTGTGCCGATTGGTCTATAAAAATATAGGTCTAGCCCTATATGCCCTATACGCCTTAAGGCGTGGAAAAGGGTCCTTTACTTTACTTTTCTTACATTCTGCATCGAGTTTGATAGTGGTATGAGTGTTGAGCCATTCAGAGAGCAATGACAGACCACTGCACATAAAATATACATAATAGACATGTGTTGACTTGCACTCACAGAAAGAAGTAGAAAGATAGAAAGACACCTTAGAAAACTTGAAAATCACAAACCTTAGCAGCCATGCTGTTAACTGGACCTATCAGCTTCAAATGACAGCAGCACCTTGCTGCAGGACAAATGTACTAACACTTAATACCAACTATACAACTTTAAAAGGTGTCTTCATTAGCCTGTCTGTCCACAGCTTGAATCCACAGCTTTGGAATATGGACAGAATTCATCTGAAAGCATTGAAATAGCACCACAGGTTACATAAATTCCTATTAACCAAGCACAGGTCGAAAAACTAACAAAATAACAATTATTAACACATCAGACCATAATGCTGCATCTGGTTTATAACGAAAATTTAAAAAAGAGATTTGATTAGTGGTTTCCATTGTATTATAATAAAGTAAAGGACCCTTTTCCACACCTTTAGGCGTATTGGGCATACTGGGCTAGACCTATATTTTTTTCCCAACGGCACTTGGTGGATGATGTGGTCAGCATCACGCTGACCGCCTTTACTTCCCAGGACTGCACCTGGTACCCACTGAAAGCTGGGTTGACCTGGGAGTTAAGGTCATTTTGGAAGAATGTCCAGCTTTGCCAGGACCCGAATCCACGACCTTCCGATCCGCAGGTGAGCGTCTAGCCGCTACACCACGGCGACTCCCTATTGTTTTATACTGAACATAAAATTTCCTAGTAAAACCACAAGTAAGTAAAAAAAAAAGTAAAGTTCCCTATTCACGCCTTTTGACGCATCGGGCATATGGGCAGAGCGTCCCATTTTTTTACAGACCATCAGCACTCTGTGGGTAATGTGGTCAGCATTACGCCGGCTGTCTTTACTTTCCCAGGACAGCAGCAACCATTAAAATTTGGGGTTGTTTTGTGATGACCTCTAAAAGGTAAGTCAGGGCTATTCAAGTGGCGGCCCAAAGGCCAGATTTGGCCCGCAGAGGCCTAACAAGTAGCCGCAGATAACTGTCAGTTGTATTGTGTTAAAGATCTTTCTATTGCGGGGCTTAGGCGCATTGTGCGTTCATTGGGCTTCTAGGTAGGAACTTATGAACGTATGATGCGTTCCTTACGACTTAAAGAGTTAATCTCTAAAATTCCAAGGACCCTTTTTAAAGTAAGGGACTCTTTTGCACACCTTTCAGGTGTATTGGGCATAAAAGACTAGACCTATTTTTAAATACCAATTAGCTCTCCGTGGGTGATGTGATCAGTACAGTGCTGGCCACCTTTACTTCCCAGGATTGCACTTGGTGCCGATTAAAGGCTGGGTCGACCTGGGAGCTAGGGTCATTTAAAAAAAAAAAAAGTCCGCCTCCACCAGGAGCTTAAACCATGACCTTCCGATCTGCAGTCAAACACCTAGCCACTACACCATGACAACCTCCCCAAGGGATTGAGCTTGAAAGCAGTTCAAACATAGATTTGAAGGAGTTTAATAGAGACACTACCGGACATAAGTAATTAAACTAATAATTGTCATACAAGGGGTCAGTTTAACACTTATCTGATCTGTTCTTGCAGACAGAACATCATGTAATCTCCTCCGCGAAGGAGGAGCTTTTGGTTATAATTATGACTAGGTTATATGCACCGCATACAATGACTTAGCTTGCATGCCACTATGAGCCCTTAAATGGACTCCTGCAGTGTTGATGCGATCAGAAGAGACAGACCCAAAAAATGTCTCAACTGGAAATGAAGTCTTCTACAAGTGAGCCAAAGGGTGACCATTCAGACTCTACATTCTCATTCCCTGTCCTCACTGTCCAAGAACTTTTCAGGCCTGCATCGGCCTCATCAGTCACCTTCGTACTCATACTTGATGAAAAAGAGTGGTCATCATCATCTTAATGGAGAACACACACACACAGACTCTACATCGCAAGAACAGTTCTTTCTCCCAGTTGCTATTTATCATTGAAGACTGAGTTCTATGAATGAATGATCAGATGAACTTTATTTTCAAAGGGTTAAAATTTGGCCTGTCTAACAGTCTGACTACTTGCATACAGTTATTCATTCATACATCATTTCATAGATAATAATCAACATTTTCAACATCTAAATTATTAATTACAAATGCTGCAATGTGCTCTAATTATACTTACAATACCAAGGAAAAAAAATTAGTATAGTAATAAATGTAATCCAATAATTTTATCAATTCTGTAAGGTAGCATAATTTTACACCATCGGCAACAAATAACTTTTAATTTGATAAATGTTGAAATGTGCTCGACTGGTCCCTACATTTTTTTAACAAAACTAATTTGCAGTATAAATGGTGTAAGAGAGTAGACTGTAAATTGCAAGCACTTGGTATTGTTTACAGCATTTTCATTTTGCCTGTTTTCATGTTGTTAATTTTTGCCTAATGAAAAATACCAGGGACTGGATGCGCAAAAGTCAAGGTCTCAGAATTATGGTTTGCTTATAGAAGAAGATGGAAGGCTGGAAAAAATAAGACAGCAGCGGCTGGAAAGGAACAAGGAATATAATGAATATTTAGCTAGGAAGGTAAATGTGAACAAATGCTATCTGGCTGAATATTCTATATCTCATATTTTTATTTGTATGAAAATATAATTTTTGTAAAGAATTAAAAAAAAAAACTTGACTTATCAGTATTGATTGTTTAGACTTTACAATTAGAGAAAAAAATATATATATATACAATTGCTTCAGTAGTTACATTCACCCCCCTCTTCCCCCTCGTCGCCCTCCCCCAATTCACCCCAGAAGCCTCCATCAAGATATTTTTTTTATAGTTGTTTTGTTTTCTTTTAGTAATAGCTATTAGATCACCTCATGCTGCTTTCATAGTAGTATCAGTCACCATTCAGAAGCAGTGGCAAACTACTGAATGTAAAATTGATTACTTGAAACCAAAACAGCCATCAGATGCTAGGGTTGGTTCTTTATTCAATGTCCTGTAATGGATACACAAGGAACTGTTTTTTTTTTTTTTTAAAGGTAGCTGTTATTGATGTCTTTGCTTTCTTTGTATGTGCCTTGTGCATAAATTTTTAATTTTAATTAATTATCGTCTTTTAATTTTTTTCTTCTTCTGCCTTCTAAGTCCCAGTGGAACATAGACCCTCAACCAACTCACGTCAAGTTGTTCTATCCTTCATTATTTCATGCAGTTCTCCCCATGTCTTTTTTATCAATAGCATCTTTTAGTCTTTCCAAAATAATCATATTTAATATTTTTCCAGGAACTGATAGCAACATAATTCCTCTATAGTTTTCACCCTCCAGTAGATCACATTTTTGGGCAGTTTTACAAGATATCCTTCTCTCCAGTCTGCTGGTATTTCTTCTTTCTCCCATACTTTATTAATTAATCTATGTAGCAGTTCTGTTGATGTGTTTTTATTTCGCCTGTGGTTGCATGGGAGGGAAGTTCTTTTACTGCTGTCTGTCTTCTCTAACCATGTGTGTGTATGTCTCTCTCTCTCTCTCTCTCTCTCTCTCTCTCTCTCTCTCTCTCTCTCTCTCTCTCTCTCTCTGTACACACACAGGCACACCACACTCATTCTCACACACGCATGCACGCACACACACACACACAGAGAGAGAGAGAGAGAGAGAGATATATATATATATATATATACATATATATATATATGTTTAATGATATCTTGATATCTACATAAGATTTTTTTAGCATTGTTTTGTAGTAGTTCAAGAAGCTTTCAGGACAATAATTAATGTACTTGCCTGCAAAGTCACAAGTTCTTGTTAATTTCCCAGCAGAGGCAGAATTTCTTTTTTTTCTGACCAGTATGAGCTGAAGTCCATTAGAATGAGCACTAGATGGTTTTCAAAATGTTCTGGGAATTGCCTGAAGGACAGGTGACAATATCAGGTACTAATCTCTTGCACACAGTACATGCTGAAATGGGACACACTGACTGATGAGGTGCCTATGTGGGTGTGACATTTTCTCCTGGAAAGGGAAACAAAAAAGGAGAAGATAAAGTGTTCACTACAGAATATTAATTTTATAAATAAAATATATTCAAAATTATCTGAGTGCTGTGTTATTAATTCAGCATTCAACATTCTTTGTAAATGCAGTCTGAACATGTGAATATTGAATCTTTGTTAAGAGTAATCACTGACTGTTAGCTTAAACATGCGATGAACAGTTTTTTTGTTACTTTTGGTCTTTAGCGTCGGATTCCAACACGAGAGAGGTATAACTTAACTCCAGAGTTTGATGAGTCGGAAGACTTTGATCTCTTTCATAATCTTGGAATGGAAGATAAGAAAAAACAGCGAACCAGGGAACCACCTAGTCAGTTAAATCTACCTCATCAGAATTTCAACAATGAAAGAAGCCAAGTACAAATATATTTCACACTTATTCCATTGCATCTTATATAATTTCTTAAAAATGTGTGAGAATCTGTAGAATCTTGAAGTCTAATTAACCAGACTTGCCCAGTAACTAAAATTCTGTTTTTATATTTTCATAAAATGCTTCTTTAAAAATAGATTATTCCATATTATTGTTTGCTTATCTAAAATAAAATTAGTTGCAGAAAATGATAATATATATTAATATATATTAATATATCAGTGTTTTGCACAAAATGTTAATTAATATAAAAGTGTTTTGCAGAAAATGTTGACTAATAAATAAGTGTTTTGTAGAAAATGTTAACTAAACTAATATATCAGTGTTTTTGCATAAAATGTCAACTAATATATCAGTGTTTTTAATACTCTGTTGGCTTTTCCCACCATTTACTATGCGCCTAATTAAAAATGTATATATGCATTATATAATGGTTCAGTCTTGGAGCTTAAATTGCATCTAAGGAGCTATAAAATTTATAGTAAAATTGCTGCAGCACTTGATTGCTTGTAGGGTTTGAATAAATCGGTTTAGTCAAAATTAGTTGTAGTCTTAAATGGAATAGTGCTGTGGGTACACCGTTTATATAAAAATAAGACTGGTTGTTGTGGTACTAATAACCGAAAGAACACAATATACAATTGAGCTCAGCAAAAGAAAAGGCAAAGATAAATTTTATCAGTCTATATAAATGACAATTAAACAACAGTAATTAAAAAGAAGTAAAGCTGGTCAAGTACTGGGACAGCTAGCTCCCCTTTTATAACATAAGGCAATCCTAGTCAGCACAAAGAAACATTTCATACAAAGTGTATTAATTTACAACTTTTGCTATCAGTGCCAGACACAACAAAACATAAAAGAAAATCATTAACCATGGAAATGAGGTGTCTGAGAAAGACTGTAGGAGTGACCAGAAGAGATAAAACCACAAATAAGGTCATACAAGATAAAGTCCGCACAGAACCAATTCTAGATTACATACAAAGACAGCAAATCAAATGGTTTGCCCACTTGGAAAGAATGCCTTCTGATATTGTACCATACAAGGCATATACAAAAAGAGGAGAGGGAGCAAAAGGTAGACCAAGAGCAAGATGGGAAGATAAAATCAGGGAAACTCTACAGCACCACGATGTGTCCATGGTCGAAGCAGCCAGAAGAGCAGGAAGTAGGACCTTATATCTCTCTCGACACTCAAAGTGATAAAAGAGGACGTAAAGAAAGAAAGTAATTTTAAAAAAAGGAAACTGCCCTTTTCGTGCCAGTGGCTCATTATACTGCACTCATCTTTTTATAGACCAGTTAGCACTCAGTGTGTGTTTACACTCCCCTTTAAAATCATTACAATCATCCTAAATAAGTCGTCTACATGTTTAGTTGAATAAGAAAATGGAATACAAAGTTCATAGAATGAAAATATAGGCAGAAAAGGAAAAAAAGTACTGAGAATGTGATAAAGAAGAAAGGGAAAAATTCAAATAAATTTTAAAATAATTGAAAAAAAAGGGGAGGGGGGGGGGGTGGGGGAAGCAATGCGCATGAAAAAAATTAGAATGTAGAGCACTCACATGTACATGCTGTTTTATATGTTGAAAATATTTAGTTTTAATATCTCTTAGTGTGGACTAAGAACAGTCCAGCTGAGACTAACTAGCAAAAGTTAATTTGAAATCAGTGCAAGAAAAGATTTAAGTTTTGTAATTGGGTGAAACTCTCAACCAGTTATTACAGAAAACAAGTATAATGAAAACACCTTCTTCATATTTTTATTTTGGGGGCATTTTAGATTTAAAAAAAAACAAAAAACTAAACGAATCTGTTCTGATATATTGCACATTGTTCACTGTTCATTTCAAGATCATTTTCATCGCATATTGAACATGACCATAAGTGCTGCGGTCTCCACCTGAGTGTGTCTTGAAGTGTTTTTTGGCTAACAACTCCCTTTCTGTTATGGTTGGCTCCCGCATGATTTTCCTGTCTCGCTGCTCTAATTAGTACACCCAGGGTATGCAGTCTGTTCAGTGAAAAATCATTTTCCACAAAAATAAAAGCCTCACAGCGTTTAGTCTCTCGTTGGCATGGCATTGATGATGCTTCTTCTGTCCATAGATGGCCCATTCCTGAGAGTTGCACTGCCAACAAGAGCATCTGCTCTCTCATTGCTTTTCACACCAGCACAGCCTAGAATAAAATTGAAGGTGATTTTGTGAAACGCTACACGCTGTATCACATCGATCTTCTGATCCCATAAATGCCTCACCTAAATCTTCTGTAGCATGCTCCATGAGCTGCTGACAAAGCATGCATTGGTGAATTTCTAAGTTTTCAGCCATTCTAGGGCCTCTGTCACAGCCATGTTCACCACTGTCATATTGCTGTTGGTAGAAGCAAGGGCTCCACTGTCTACTTTGTTTCCTTTAGGTCTTGCTGTGAAAGCCCATGAGCTTAGCTTCTGATGAATCATTGAAGAATTTATGTATGTATATATATGTATATATATATGTATATATATATAAAACATCATCTTCCAGTGATGGTGGTGAATTGATACATGACAAGGCAGATATGGTCAAGCCCCTTTGGGAACAAGCAACAGAATCAGTAGAGAAACAAGATTATTATGGCCTGGAGAGAAAGAAGCACCTGGGTGTAACCAGAGAGTCTGGCTGGCTCAATACACTCAGAGGAAAGACAAGACAGACTTTTAGCCAGATTGTGACCAGTACCATCAGTATTGAAACTCTGCGCTGGCTGCTGAAGATGGGAACGGAGCATGCATGGGAATGCCTCAAGTGTTGTGATGTCAATTGTGACTCAACTCTTCCAGTGATGTGCATTCCACCACCAGTGCTTTCACTTCTGCATCACCCGTGTATTGCAAATAAATGTTGAAGTGCTCTACAAAAACACTTATATTTTGTAACCTGACCTGAAATTTTATGCATAGGTAATGGAAGTAATAGGTGAATGAAAAGGACTTCTGGGTAAATAAAATTAAATATGTAGATAAACTGAGCCTTATTAAAGGAAGTAATTGATGAAACTCCAGTAAAATATCGATGTAAAGCCATTAACGTTGTAAAACACCGTAATTAACTCACTTTGGCTCAGCTGCTGTGATAAGTATATTTGAAATGGCATTATTGATTTTACTGAGCTCATTAGCAACTAAAAGCTGTTTTTGTCTGTGAGGTTGTAATGTCTGCTAATTGATGGGCGTACAGTGTGTGTGGCTGTGCATGTGTATTAGAAAGAATATAAGAGAGAAATTCACTCCTGTGTGTTATGATGGTTTTATTATTGTGGTTTTATGGGTTAGGTAACTGAATGTGGCTGTGCTTTAGTAATGTTGATTTCATTGTTCTGTTAGGATAGATTATTACTGTACTTATACATTAAAAATATTTTGTTTGTAATATACATATTAGGCCTTGCTTATCAAATAGTGTTTTACTTGACATACATTATTATCATTAACCATTGTTCAAAAATGTTTCTTGTTATAGTCCATGCTGTGTGATGTTGGTAGTCAGGTCTGTCCACAACCTTCTTTCAGTCAGTTCTCACATAGATGATCTTCCATTCCATGATGTCAGACTGTCCAGAATCTTCTCTTTCAGTCTCCCTCTGCCTCTGTTCCCTCCGGCTTTCCCACAGTTGTGATGTGCTCCAGTTTTTTTCCTTAACATCACTTGTTCAAAGAATGTAGATTGTCTCTTTCGTTTAACACATCATAAGCTTTAGATATTTATCTTATGTGTTTTACATTTATTTGTTGTCTTCTGATTGTTGTATTTTATACCTTGCTTATTAAACAGTATTACACTAGATGCACATTATCATTACTAATTGTTTAACACATTGTAGTGCTTCTGCATTTTATCCAGCTGTATACATTTTAAGAACATTTCAAATCTCTCAAAATAATTTTAGTTTTGGTAATGTGTAGCCCCTATCATCAGAGATGAGTCATTTAAATATCTGAAATACAGTAATTTAAGATTTTTTTAAACACAATAATTTATTTTACCAAACGTGTGCTTTATTTATCATCTACCAGCTTAAAGAAAGAAACATAACCAATCATGGAATGATCTTAATTACATATTTCAGCCAGAAACCTATAATTTATTACATATTTCAACTAGAGATGTGTCTATAATTACATATTTTAGCCAGAAAAATATCATTTATTACATATTTTAACTAGAGATGAGTCTATAATTACATATTTTAGCTAGAAAAAATATAATTTATTACATATTTCTACTAGAGATGTGTCTTTAATTACGTATTTCAGCCAAAGATGTGTCTGCAAATTTTTTGATTGCTAAACACATTTTATCATGATACTTGAAAAAAAAAACACACGCAGCTGGTATCGTTTAACATTTTTTTTTAAATTCTAGGTCTCATTGCATGAAGTATGGTTTTGCCAGGGATTTATTATAATTAATGACTCGTTTGTTGATGTTAAAATATTCGATAATTTTTAGGAGAATTAAAAAAATATTATTTTTGCTGTAGTAATTAGTAAGTAGACCTTTTATTAATATTATTTGTAATTATTGTGATCATTTCTATTCGTTGATCATAGTTTTAGTGTGACTGCATGGTAAATAATTCCTTATTATAATATAATTGTAAATAATTTTGGTGTCATCTTTTTAAACTGTTTGAATTTAAATTTAGGAAATGAAGATAATCATTAAATAGAAATAGGGGTAACAACAATTATGCAAAATGTCAGTAATTTTGCAAATTAATTTTTAAGATTGATTGTAAATAGTGCAGGATGGATGTCTATAAAGTTTTAATCTCTTATTTTCACCTCTTTGCTACATGTTAAACAGTTATTATTTTCTTATTGCTTTTAAACACATATTTTTGCATTTGATTTTTTAAAGATATTTTTTCTTTTAATGGAAAAACTTGTGAAAAATCTGAAAGATTAAAGTCTGAATGAAGACTGTAACTGCTATTCATTAAAAAAAAATATTTATATATTTAAATGAAACAAACTGCCTACAAACAATAGATAACTCTGCCTATAAACAATAGATAACTCTGCCTATAAACAACGGATAACTCTGCCTATAACCAGTGGATAACTCATACAAACTGGACTACGGCCACTTCATACTGAATCTGATGACCAAATATAGCTGTGATAAGATTGAACAAGGTTCTGGGATTTGCTTCTGCTGGCTTTCCATCAGCATTGTGTCTTCTTGAGTCACTGAGTGTTTATCTTTTAGTATGCAATCCTAGAGGGGAAAAGGTAACAAAACATTTTTTTCTTTAAAGTAAATAAAGAATCATCTTCAACATTTCGGGCATATAGGACCAGTCCCATATTTTTAAAGAGCAACGGCACTTCAAATGTCATATACGTATCACACTGATCACCTTTCCTTACTTCCTAGAACATTTTATGTCACCAGTTTGTAGATTGGGTTGTACCAGAGCTCAGGTCTAATAAAAAATCTGGCTCAGAAGTTATTTGAACGTATGACCACCGGACCAGCAGACAAGCAGCCTTTTCTAAGATGGACAGTATTTACATTGAGCATCTTTCAGAATATTTTGTTTTTAATACTGGTTCCATTTCTGAAGGAAGATTGACAATGCTGACTTTATATGTTCTTAGCGCCAGTATCAGAGGCATCCACTCGGGGAACTGACAGATGAGTACAAAGCATTAGCACTGGGAGCCAATGAAAGTGATGCTGTGAAGGTAAATTTTTTATTGTGATTTAAAACTCTTACAAGTTTAATGTTGAACTAAGAATTAACATCACATCACTTAGGACACTCCCATAAGCGCTGTCTTAAAAGTGTGGGCAGTTTATATTTGTATATGTATATTTTTTGTATTTTTGCAGTAATGAAGCAAATTAGTTTTATTGTTAGCAGAATTCTAAAGACAGAGGAAATTCCAGAATTGATAGTTATCTGGAGAAGTTGTCAAAGTTGAATTTGTAGTTGAATAATGTTTTTGTAAGTTCCAGGGAGAATAATAAACAGCATCAGAGTGGAGAGACTAAGATTTGCTAGTTAAGCTGTGTTAAACTGAGTTAACAACATACAACATAGCACTCAGGACATTCCCATAAGTGCTCCATCCCTATCTTCAGGAGCCAGCAAAAAGTTCCAATTTAGTGGTGCCAGTAGCAGTCTGATTGTATGCCCATCTTGCCTTTCCTTTGAGTGTTGGGTGTCAGCCAGATCCATTTGTTACATGAAGATGTCTTTATGGCCTTTATTAACTCTGACACAGCAACTTGATGATTTATTTCACTGATGACTTAGTCCTCCTGTCCTATAGATGAACTCAGGTGTAGGATAAATGAAATACACTTGCTTGTGGTTACAAGATAAATCCTTAAAATTCTTTTCAGAGAGACACAAGTTAATTATAATAAATCAAGCAAAATATAACTGTGTTTCTCTAGGTGTAACTTTTGTTCAAATGGTGGCGATGTGCACATATTTAAGTATTGCTGTATACAAAGCTGATGTAATAAAGATACTTAAATATGAAAACAGAAGGCAACATGAGCTAAATGAGCTTTCCCAACAGTAGGACATTTGTGGAAGTAAAATAAATTAAATTTAGCATTAGACTTAGACTATTTAACTGTCAAATATAGGGATATATTGTTATAGGGATCAGAAATATGGAGAATGACTACACAAAAAATAGCATTAATTAATTAATGTCTGTGCAGAGTAGAAAGACTATGATTCAAGTATGTCATTTTGTTTGTTGTGGCCATAATAAAACCAGTCTCCTTAATTTTTGGTATGTAACTAGTCCTTCCTTTAGAACCAGCGGGATGAGAGAGAGGCAAGAGAAAGAAGGATTGGGGGGGGGGGGGGGGATATAGAGAGGAGAAAGATGTCAAAAACACTTTAAGAGAACTAAGGACAGAGATGAAAAAGAACAACACAATATGTTGGTGATAAGGAGAACTTGTAGCTTAGAAAGGGCCTCTGTTAAAGGAATAACAGGTGAAAGAAAGAAAAGAAGAGGAGGTGGAATGAGTTATAAACTTCAGAATTAACAACCTAAGGCTTCTTTCATTGACATCTAAACTAAACAAGCCATGATTTCTCATCTTCAGGCTTTTGTAAATCACTTAATTTCATCCATAGTTGCAGAAAATAAAAGAAAGAAATGAAGAGTACAACCAGTTTCTAATGTCCAAAAACGATAAGGGCAAGAACAGATTTTCTGACAAGAAACCATCAGAGGTAGGTCACGAGAAGCGCACCACTTATCTTTTTCCTTGCTTTCACTCTTATGGTATCTGGTTTTGTATTTCTCTTACCTTTTTTTCTTTGGGCTCACTAGCTCTAAACTCCAGTGGAAAGTTCTAGTTGCTTGTCCACCTCTGGACTTGGAGTCTTGTTTCAAAACCTGAGTATTGTATGCACATATGTTTTACAGATCTGACTTATGTGTATGCAGATTGGTGGTTTCTTGCCTCTCTGACAGATGCACTCTTGACTTCGAAGGAAGCCCCAAGTTAGTCGACTCTTACGACATGCTTGTTGAGAAGGCAGTGGTTCTGTTTTTGTTTTCATTACAATGGGACCCCAGAACCCACACAGGAAACCTACCGTATTATAACCGACAAAAAAAGTTTAGAAAAAAAATAACATGTCCTTTACAGGACATCAAAAACCAGACCTAATATTTGTTGGCTGTTTGTGGGTAATTTTACATTTAGCAGTTTACCATTGCCCTCTGAATAATTGGTGCTCATCTGATTGTCAAAATCAATGCACCGCAGACTGCTGCCAAATTTCCTGCATCTGGACTGAACCCTTCATGTAGAAATTATAAAACTGTTCATAACAGTTATTGCTACATAGTAGATATTACACTGCACCAGTAGTTAACTGGCTATAAACAGCAAGCCCTAAAATTAAAGTCAAAAGGACTGACTTCATTGCACCTGGTTTTATCCCATATTGTTCCGTCTCTTTTCACAGAATGGATAGCCGTATGCTGAAGGTGTGACACAAATCGTGTATTATGTAGCTCCAGTTATAATCCCCAGGGATCTCTGTAAAATTGCACTTGTGAACTGAACATACCATAACAAGAGGTAAAGACACTGATCAATTAGAAGAATAAAAACTCCTGGAGGTGGAGAACAAATCGCAATTATCCAGATGACCCAGTCAGCAGATGAAGATACTGCAGACTTAGCACACTCATGCACAGAATTTAGGCTGCACAATCTGCCTGGTGTCCCAGCCTAACCGCACTCCAAACAAATGAGCACATGCTGCAGAGCTGTCCCCTACAACAAAACCTGGAAGAAAACACATGACCAAAGGGAAGAGATATCCTGAACAAACTTTAGGGGACCCTTGGAGAATTGCTTCTGCATGGATAAAACATGACTGGTATCCTGAGCATATGAAACAGATTGCCAAGAAGAGGAAGGTGATGGGCGCAGCTTCTTGAACTCCAATCATTGCTTTATCTCTTAACTATTTACAATTTTTGGCTTTTATTTTGGTCACTTCTGCTGTGTTTTTTTAGCCTCCTTGAAAGTATGCACTCATAGGTGTTATTTCGCTGTTAGTATCTGCAACGAAATTTTCTGGGACTGTAATGTGTCAAGAACAGACAGTTATCATGAATGATGGCAGGAGAAGGAAAGTAGGCAAAAATATCAGCAGTGGATGTTTTTAAAGAGCCGCTTGGTTCACTGTAGATCAGAACAACCCCCAAGCAACATACCTTAAAGAACAGTGACATTAAGTGAAAACTTAGTTCAAGGCAGGCTCTTTAAGCAGAGTAGCATCTTATGTACAGTCTACACAAGGATCTTGTCTATGAAGCACTTCCTAATTCTGGGGTCCCATTGTGTGAAGTGGAGGAAAAATAGGCCCACAGCCTCTCTAAGAAGCTTGTCATACAGGGCAATTTAGGGGTTTCCTTCAAAGTTAAGTGCATCTTCCTGAGAGGCAGGGAACCAACAGTCTGCATACAAATAAGCAAGATCTGTAAAATGGATGTGCATGCAAAACTTAAGATCTGAAATAAGTCTAAAGTACAGAAGTGGACAAACAACCAGAATTTACCGCTGGAGTTTACAGTCATTAGATTCTGATAGTAGGAACTCTTGTAGAATATTAACATTGTCATTGACTGTTCTGCTGATATAACAACAAATCGTGGCCTGCACACAGATAAACTATAAATTAAAGTAATGGAAAATTTTCATGCAGTTGGCAGTCACCTTTACCTCCCAGGATATATCCTGGTAATTTTAAACTGGGGTGATCTGGAAGCTCTAAGCCAGCTGTAAAAATCCACCCTGATGCAGATTCAGACCCAGAATTGTTAAGCTGTTGTTCAAACATGTTACAGCATGTTATAGCTTATCACAGAGTGTTACCTTGATGTCCAATAAGTTAAATTAATTTCTATTTTTCTTCTTTTAATGTCCTGTGCAGGATGGTGGAATTTTTGCCACTATACCTGGACTTCGCTACTCAACTTCTGCTCAGGTAAATGCTGTAGCCATGTCTCTTTATTCATAAGCTGTTTTTGTTTTGTTTTACTGCTTTATAAAAATAGTGTTTTTATGTTTTATTATTTATTTGTAGACAAAAAAAACAAATATTAAAGTTTTAAGAGTGCTAAATGGATAGTATATTATGCTTTTAAAAAACAGATGCAGTGTTAACAGTCTTGGTGATATTACCTACCTAATTTCGTCCTTTTAAGGACGAAATTTTTTGTTATTTGAAGCCCCACCCTGGCTTTTGCCAGGGGCCGCAATATAGGCAGGCCATAAATATGGCCAATTGTCTGAATGCTGTTTCTGGGACCTCTCCACGGCAATCCTCATCCGCATGGTGGCGCTTTGTGTCATCGGGTGTTTATCGCTGGTGTGATGTCCTGGTGGGGTAGAAAGTCAGTCAGTCAACAGTCTTGGTTCCCAGTTTCATTAGTTAAATAACTTCAGACCAAGCTAAATTATGAATAATGATACAAATCTAATTATTTTTTAAAATAAATTAAGCAAATTTACCAGCACTCCTTTGAATGGCAACCACAGGGGACATAATCTAATGTTTGTTTACAGTGAACATAAGGGAGACAATCCATCAATTTTTTTACGTTCACATTATGATTTTCTGTAATATTTAATATTGCATCACATTAGGGTTAGGGTAGCCCTAACTCTAACCCAAACCCTAATCGCAGACAATATTAAATATAAAAAATGTTATTATGTATACCTACACAAAGAATGGATCGCAGCCAAGTTGCAGCCACGGCCAGCAAATAAATAGCTAAAGCACACGCCTTGTCCCAGGAATACAACGAAGAAAAATACATCACCCATAATTGCCATTATGTACGAATCTGGAACTCAGTCATTAATCGATAATCACAGCTCACAGTGCCACCAGGAGCACTAATCTCAGTAGCTCTGGCTGCAAACCGGACTTCCACAATCTTCAACACTGAAACTGGAGGGAAAAATGGCGATGAGAACGATCAACTTAAGCCAAGTTCTCATCCATCATCCATTCCCTTCAGTATCGGAACTGGAAGTTTGATATGTCCATTCTTCAGTTTAAGCAAAATCCCATTACTGTCTGTTGTGTTTCCTTTAACTGAGTTACAAACATATTTTATGATCTACTTTTTATAATTTTAAGTTTATCTTCAGTGATCTGTGTACAGTCCTTAGCAGTTGA